GGTGCAAAAATAAGCGGATGAGGAGCTCACATTGATTTTCGTGTAGTCGAGGCGAAGTTTGTCGATGAGAATCGGCATGGCTTGGCGCTAGCGCACTGACACATCTATCGGGGTAGCTTTCGAGCCTCCGGGTGCTCGAAGGCGGTCCCGGCCAGTCGGGTCCGACCGAACGGGCATCGAGGCGGACTGGCGGCTGGGCCGGCCCGGCGCAGTCGGCGTCGAGGCAGACGGGCGAATGGGTCGGGGCCCCAGCCGGCCAGGCGTCGAAGCCGGCATGTGGACTGGGCGGGTCGAATAGCTGGCAGGGCGGGTCGCTGCTGGACCAGTCGGACGCATCTTTTTTTTTTGCGCGAGAAGCCGGCTGGGCACTCTTTCTTTTCTCCGCTTCTTTTTCTTAGGGCATGTACAACGGGGGCAGCACCTTGCTGCTGCCCCAGCCCTACACGTAGGTAAAAATAATTGAGGCATCTGGTTTGATTTTTAATCACCCAATGCACTGACGTGAGGCCACCATCTCGTTTGGGGTCCACACATACACTCTCTCTCCAACCTATCCCATTGGCAGTCCTGATCTTCTCTCTCCTTTCCTTAGCTTTTCTTGCTTTTTGGTTTGAAGAAGCAGTCTCCTCTGCAGGATCCTCCTATGCTCTGCAAGCTACCACTTTAACGCCACGCTGGCATCCGAGCCTAGTTGGCCTGCGGGGCATCATCTCTGGGGCTAACCGTTGGGCATGCCCTTATGCCCGAGCAGCAGGACAAAGGGGGAGCCCGCGCGCGTGCGGGGCCGGCTGGCGGCGACCCGGCAGCGGGCGACCCGGCCGCGGGGGAGCGGAAGCCGGCGGGCGCGGCGGCGACCCGGCCAGCCGGCGTGCGGGAAGCCGGCTGGGCGAGTCGGCGATCGGGTGACCCGGCCGCGGGCAAGGCGCGCGGAGGAGAGGTGACGGGCAGCCGGCTTGCGGGGAGCCTGCAAGCGGCCGGGTCGGAGGCGAGGCCGGCAGGCGGGCGCCGAACCAAAGCCGCGAAGGAGGCCTGGGAGCGGGAGCGACCAGCGCGCGGGAGGACGAGACGGCGGAGGCGGCGCTCGCGGACCCGGCAGGGGCGAGGCGGGCGACCCGGCAGGGCCACCGACACGGCGGGGAGGAAGCCGGTCGGAGGAGTAGCCGGACGGTGACCCGGCAACCAAGCACTCCCGAGGCCGGCAGGCGCGACGGGAGGCGCGGCGACCCGGCAGGGGCTCGGGAGGCCAACGGGGCCGGTATGGGGAGGCGGCCGGAGGCGTGTCGACGAGGCCGGGCGGGCGCTGCGGGGATGGCCAACGCGGAGCCGGATGCTGGCGCATGCCGGCGTGGACGAGTCGCGGGACTCCGGACGGGGTCGGGGGCGACCCAACGCGGACGCGGTCGCGGGCGCAGCGCATGCAGCCGCGGACGACGCAGGAGACGGGGCTCCGGCGGTCCGTCCCGCGGCGCGAGGGCGCGGCGGAGAAGCCGGCGCGGGGCGGCGCAGCAGCCGCGGAGGCGTGGAGGTGCGATGAGCAGGCCGAGCACGGCAGCGGCTGGTGGGCTGGTGCTGCAAGAGAGGCCAGCTGTGGAGCGGCGGCCCGCGACGGGTCGTGAACAGGCGCGGGAGCCGGCCCAGCGGCCAGGGCGGAGCGGAGACGGCGACCCCGAGTGGAGCAGGCGGACACAGGCGAGCGCAACCGGCAGGCGGGGAGGCGGAGCAACCGGCGTGGCGGACTCGGCAGGCGGCTGGCGGAGCCGAGCAGCCGGCCACGGGCCCTGCGGGTGAGATGGCCAGTCTGCAGGAAGCCGACTGGGCGGCGCACCAGGTGACGAGGAGCTGGCGCAGGAACGCGGAGGCGGCCAGGCGCGGGCGACGCACGACGGAGGAGGCGCGCGAAGGCAGACGAGCTGCGGGCGGACCGGCGCAGGCGCGTGGTTGCGGAGCCACGCGCGGGAGGATACGGGGCGGTCCGGCTGAAGCAAAGGCGGCGCCAAGCAGAGGACGCCCGCGCGGGAGCTGCGAGGAGCAGGGGCGAGGCGGAGCTGCGCTTTGGACAGAGCAACGCTGGTACGGCTAGTCTGACTTGCATCTGGCCCATGAACAAGTAGTGTCTAGGGAAAATCTGACTATCATCTGGCAATTATCCGAGACGAGTCTGTGTATGATCATTATGCGGATTGTATTGGGCTAGCGTATGGAGGGGTGAGGCGTAGCATGGAGAGGAGCAGACGCGCGGCCGTGGGCGGAGCAGCGCCAATGGAAGCAAGACGGCAGCGACGCACGCGCACGGACGGAGGCGGCACGGAGCAGGGGCAGGAGCGGCGAGCACGCGGACCGAAAGTACGCGACGACGACACGCCGCCCCGCACGGTTGGGCCGGGGGCGTGCTGATGTTGATCCCCCGACCGGCACCGAAGAGACGGCGGCGACGTCACGGCGGTGATGACGGAGATGGCGAGGCCGACGACGGGGACGTGCCGCTCCGCGCGGCCGCCCCGGGGTCGAGTTGATGTCGAGCCGTCGAGCGCACCCGGAGAGACGGTGGCGACATCGCGGTGATGATGAAGATGGTCCTGCCCGAACCGCGGTTCCGCGGCAGCTGTGGTATCATAGTACGCCCCACGGTGGGTGCCAACTGTCGGGGTTATCTCGCGGGCGGGTTCGCGAGACGACAGATGCCACGAGGTGGCTTGTGGTGAGGGCAAGACTGCTTTGGAGATCTGGGACGAGATTGGTCAAACAGCACGCGATGGTTTATCCAGGTTCGGAGCTCTCCGGAGAGATAATACTGCTACTCCTGCATGTCTGAATATATATGCAGTGTACATGTCCGACAGTATAAAATTGCTATTGGAGCTGTATTTGAGAGAGGCAGTAGCGGAGAGCTAGCTAGCTAGTGGCCGCATGTGCCTGAGCATGCATGTGTGTGTGAGTCCATATGTGAGTGAGTGGATGGATGGATGGCTATATATAGTGTGGAGCTAGCTTAGGAAGTAGGCATGTAGGCATGGGTGTGTGCTTGGGATGTAAGCCATAGTGTGTAGCTTACATCCCAAGCCATGCTTGCTTGCATGCTAGGCTAAATTTTGTCCCTGGGACATTTTATAAATTAATGTCGTCTTGTCTGTGTCGCGTCAAATGAGACGCCGTAGTTGACTTCGTGTAGCAGGCCGGATGGAGCAGCCGGACAGGGACCCGGCTGGGCGGCCGGGTTGAGGAGTCCGGCCGGGTTGAGGGACTTGGCCGGGTTAAGCAACCCGACTAAGTGCGACCCGGATTGAGGGGCGTTGCTGGCCCCGATGTTTTTGAAGCATCATTTGCCGTCTTGGGCCTACCCGCGGGTCATCCCCGTCAAAATTATAGCATGTTCATCAAGCTAACATTGTCGCACCCTCCCTTGCGTTTGTTCTAGCACCTTGAAGTTTTTAAGTACTCCCTCCGTTTCATATTACTTGTCATGTTTTCAGTTCAAAATGAACTGAAAATGACAAGTAATATGGAACGGAAAAGAGTATATAAGAAGTTATGGATATAACTGCATTGTATAGCATGTGACCACAATTTTCATTCAAACGTATGGTGATCTATACTCTCCTCACCCCTCGGGGCCTTGAAGAAGAAGAAGACCTGGGGTTAAGGGGTCAAGGACCTAGCTCACCCGAGCCTGGGCCACTACTTCGGTACCCACCCCGGGACCCAGCCTCACCCAAGCCCGAGCCACTATGTCAGGAACCCAGGTTGTCCAGAGACGAGACCTCTCACTCTGGTTACCCAGAGGTCAATGACGACCCAGAACCATCGGGAAGGCAACCATTGACGAGGAGTGGACTCTAGGGCCCGGGGATCAAGCGGTCCAAAGAGATAGTTCAGTGGGACGCAAACCTCTAAAGTGGTAGTTTTTTATCAATCACTCCATTTTCTCATAATGATATCCCACTAGGGGTTGGGGCGCCCCCTTGGGGCGCCTCCTGATAGAAAGTTGGGGCAGTGCCAGGAGGGAGCCGCCCCTTCTACTCTTCTATTTATACTAAAATTATCATAGTTGGTATAAAGATTCAGACAAGTGATTCAATGAACTTCCACAAAATATTCGAAGCTAATTCAACATTGATCGGTCACTGATTCAGTAATGAAATTATTCTTTCTAACTAAAATACAACATTTCTTACTAATATGCGGAGCAGCTTTAGCATTGATTAATCGCTGGCTCAGGAAAATAACTTCTGGTTGCTATTTAAACTACTATTGTAAAGGGATTCAACTCTACATTTAGTCAACTCTAACCATGGTGCCTCTTTTTTCTATTCAGTGAGAACATGCACATTCCTTCCTCCTTCGAATGACAACAGCAGGTAGCACACAAGCAAGCTTCTAGCATCATCTCCTAATGTTCTCTTCGGGTATTTCATTTCTTCACTGCCTTGCAACGAACCTATAGGAACCCAAAAGAGCAAGCTAGGATGGGAGTGGAGGTGAACCAAATCAAGAATGCAAGGGAGATAAAAGGAAGTATGGGTCACCTGGTTTGAATGAATGTGTGGTCACCTGAAGATCTGATTCCTTGCCCGCATCAGATTTGTGTTCAAGAAACAACTCAAGGATTTGTGTTCAAGAAACAACTCAATACAAAAAAAGTGCATTACCCTACAGTTTTTACTCCCAACCAAATCGACCATCCTTCAGTTTCAATACATCGGTCTAATTTGAGTCTTCTGAGATACCCCAAATATGATTTTAGGTGAATAAACAGATATGAACAAAAACACGTTGTAGACACGTTTTTCAGTTGGGATTCAGGAGAAACATGCTTATATGCAAATAATGAGTATGAAAGCCTGCTTCATTATATTGGACAAATCATAACAAACATGTTTATTATCCCAGATCACATAATTATTATTAAGCATGTAACATATGCACATACATGCTTTGACGAAGACGAAACCGATCTGAAGATTAGGCAGCTCTGCGGCTCATCCATCCACCATGGGGGAGCCCTATGCTGCCTTCGCGAACCCAACCTTCATGTTGCCATAGTCGAATACGGCATGGTAGGCTCCCATGAATATATCGCCCAGAATTCTACAACAGCAAGTCCTCACTGTTAAGAGTCAGCACGGCAGTTTCGTGAACATTCGCTTCCAGTATTTCAGAGGTGTTTAGCGCTCCCAACGACTGCAGATAAATCTCACAGATGAAGAAACCTTAATTACTAACCCGTCTGTGTTATGAGAGTGCAATAGTACACTAAGAAGAGGTCAATGTCGATAAAAGCAGAAGGCTCTGAGAACATAAGCCGCGCATAATTTTACCGGATAGGCCCACAGGGAGGAAGAATGTCCATGGCTATGAATCCACTCATGCACTGGGTAGCATCTCCATCACCAGTCTTTAGGATGTACTAACCAACAGAAATCAAAAGTGAAACAAAGTCAGCTTACTGCAAATTAAACGAGAGCAACAGAATATACAAATCTGAACGTATGACAACCACTTGCATAAAGCACTCAGAATTTTGCCTAAAAAAGTAAGGGCCTTGCTTC